CCCCCAAGAAAATAAAAAAGATGATGACGTAATAATTTTCTTTAAAAGAAAATATAAGTAATAATAATGATAATATATATATTTTTCAGCGATGAATTGAATGCATCATCGGTGAGCGAAACAATGAAGGTCGGAGCTTTCGCGAATCGTCAAGAAGTTTTAGATGATTTAATAATGCCGGATGCTCCGTTTAGTAGTTTATTAGCAACGAGACAACATCATCAACCTCCTTCCCCGCAAAATTGTAATTTCCAACAGGTAGGTACGGAAACCTGAGTTTTTTTTTTTTTTACAAGGGAACGTAATAATAGAATCCGGCGGTTGAGTGCTATCGTGGAATGTCGTTTCTCTCTCTCACTCTCTCCGAGTTCTTCTTTTTTTTTATTACGTAACGTAAAATTACATTATTGCAATAAAGTAGATTTCGATAAATTTAAACCGAAAAAAGAAAATGAATGAGTGAGTGAGTGAGTGAGTGAGTGAATGAATGAATGAGTGAATCTCACGGTACGGTTATTTTGCAAATGCGTTGATAACGTAATCATTCCACGAATTTACACGGATTTCAAAAGTAAAGATCTCAGAGAGGGATTCCATGGTGGAATTGTTTAAAAAAAAAAAGTTTATAATGGCGGACAAATAATAATAATAATTAAATAATGACGATGACGAAAAAAAAAATTTTTTTTTACGAAAATTATCGCGTTATTAATTTGTCATTGAAAAATTTTATTTTTTCAAGATGGAAAAAATGATTTATCGAGAGATATATATTGGCAGCATTGATTGATACATTGTTCTCGATACATGACGACAACAACAAACAACAATAATAATAATAAATTAATGATAATGAATGTTCAATGAATGAAATTATTACTAAGAATTTTTCTTTTTTCTTTCTTTTTGTTGTTGTCGTCTTGTATGATGGTGCTGGTGGTGGTGGGTTGACGTATGCTGGTGCATATAATCAGTTTTCGTCTGCTGCTTTCCGTGGCCTTTTTTTGTTTGTTTGTATTTATTTTGCTCATCGTGACTGACTTGCGATTGTTCTTTTAATAAATTTATTTTAAATCGTAGGAACTTGTCTTTTTCAGTTTCAAGGATTTGTTTTCTGACGCAATTTACCTAAATGTTTTTCTTTTTTCAATTAGATAAAGATTATTATTATTATTATTATTTATCATTTAATTCTAGTTTAAATCGGTTCGTTATTTAAAGTTCAAATTTGTTTTTGTTATTAAAAAAAAAAACATTTTAACAACAAATTAAATAAAAAAAATTTTATTTATTTATTTATTTATTTATTATTATTGTTATCGTTTCGTTTTTTGATTCGCATCGCTCTTTGTCATCGTCGTCATGATATCGGTCACTGTTATGTATATATATATATATCACGATTTATTAATAAAATGACGTAACGTTAATAAAATAAATTTATTTATTTATTTATTTTTCAGGCAAATAATGGAGATTCGAATCAGCAGAGTAACAATTTAACAAGGGGAAACAGCCTTTCGGATTTGGATTCGGATGCCGACGGAAACGGAAATCTAACTCCGAGGATAAGGTCGAGAGCGGATTCGAGATCGAGTTGTTCGATAGCATCGAATGCAGACGATTTTATCATGGTAGACTTGGTAATTTATTTAATTCGGAAATCGAGAAAAAATTGAAATTCATTATTATTAATTCTTCCCATTTTTTTTTTGATCGGGGGCGGGGCGGGGGGCGGGGAAAATCCTCCCGCATAATTGATTTGATTTAAGGTTAGGAGGGAGGGAGAGAGAGAGAGGGAGGGGGCGGGCTCAATTTTTTTTTTTAAAAGAAATGCTGTTGGTACCAACACACCTGCAGGTATCGTTTTTATCGGAGCAATATTTCACGGTTCGATAGTTAGTCATCGAGTTTTTTTTTTTTTTTTTTAATGTTCAAAAAAATTTTATTTTATTTTAATTTACCGTTTCCGGTTGTTTTTTTGTAATTTCTTCTGCTTCTTCTTGTCTGTCTGTTTGTCAACAAGGCGAAAAATTTTTAACCAATCTCGGTGTAGTAGCGTTCGATTTTTTTTTTTTTTTTTTGTGAATGTGTTTCAATAAATCAATTTTGTTTTTTTTTTTTTTTCTTTCTTTTGTTTGCTCACGCACGCACACACGCACACGCAGAAAACTCCGTTCGCGAACACGAATGCGAACACGGATTTGGGTACTTTTTACCGCGAGTGCCAAACAGCTCCTCCTCTTCAAACGTTCAACGATCAACCCACACTCGGGGAGACGGTGGATGATTTAACGAAACAACTTCAAGCCTTCGAACTATCCGTTCCTAAATACGAACAATTATTGTTGTCGCTTTGCAACGCAGACAACAACAATTGATAGATTTAAAAATGGATTTTTTAAAATCGGACAAAAATCACGGATGACGACGACAACCACAACAACAAGAACAACCAATAAAAAAAATGAAAAAGAAAAAAAAAAAAAAAGAAGAAAAATTATCGGTAAAAACGGAAAATCACAACAGGAAACAGCAACAATGCCAACTGTTAAAAAAAAAATAAGAAAGAAAAAATTTCGATTCGAATTATTATCATTATTATTATTATTTAATATTTTGTAATTTTTATTATTATTATTATTATTTTTATTAACATTTATTAATTTTTTAAAATTTTATTTTATTTTATTTCATTTTATTTTATTTATTAATTAATTTTTGTTATCAAATCACGAAACGGACAATTTTTATCCGAACAAAAATGGCGACGTCGCACGCGTAGACTTTTAAAAATTTTTTTATAATAAAATATTATTCGAAATGGATTATTAGTTCAAGGGATACGTAAAAAAAGGGATAAATCGATAAATCGAAAAGAATCGATTATTACGATCGATGGATCGATCAATCGATAAAATCATTCGTAATTAAATGCGCTAAAAGCGAAACGTTTTAATATCAAAAAATTTTATTTTTATTTTTTAATTTTAATTTTTTTTTTATTTTGAAAAGACTGCAGCTCATTATTTATACATATTATTATTATCATTATCATTATTATTATCATCATTATTTAAATTTACGAACAGGAGAAGTGAAGTATTTATTTTAAAAAAAAAAAAAAAAAAGAAAAATGAAAGGAAAGGAAATAAAAAAAAACGATTTTAATTATAATTTTTAATTTTTATTTGTTAATAATTATATTTATGTATAAAAAAAATTATTATTATTATTATTATTATTATTATTATTATTATTATTATTATTATTATTATTATTATATTTAAATTGTAAATTTTTATAATAAAAAATAAAATTATTATTAATAATAATAAAAACACAAGAGTGGTTTGATTCATTCAAATTATTTTTTTTTTTTGGTTGGTTTGTTTGTTGTAACGTCGCTCATAAATAAATTAATAATAAATCGAGGAAGGGAGCCGGGGGGAGGGGGGAGGGTAAAGAGAAATTTTAATTACGCTACGAAACAATAATGATAAAGACGTATCGAATGAATGAAAGATGAATGATTGATTGATTGAATAGGAATTTTTGAATTTTTCCAAAAGAAAATTCGAAAGTTTTTTTTTTGTTGCGAAATCTTCTTTTTTTGTCGTCTGCTTTTCGAAAATAATTTTTTTTTAAATGAACGAGGAAAAAGGAAAGCGATACGTATTATTATTATTATTTCAAAAGGGTGAACGAAGTAAATAATAATAATAATATTTCTTTTTTTTCGTTCACGGTGAATGAATGCGATATAGTTTTTAAAAAAAAAAAATTTTATTTTTCTATTCGATAACGATTACGATGTTATTATTATTATTATTATGAAAAAATTTGATACTGGAAAATAGTATACGATTTTTTTGCATTATCGGTGTGACGTCACTCATAATTCTGAGCAAAAAAAAATTTTTTATGCGTGGAAAAGGAAAATTTTTTAAATTTCCCACGTGCCACGTGGGGAAAAAATTTATTTAAAACTTATAGGATGGGAAGAAGGTGAAAAAAATATTCGATTTTAAAATTAATTTCTATGCATACATACATAAATTATTTTTCAGTTTAATATTTATTTATAATTAATAATAATAATAATAATAAATTGTTTTATTTAAAAATCGTAACATTAAATGTGTTCATTCAGTTTTTTTTACACGAACTCGTTTTGGAATAAAATAAAATACTTAAAAATTCTTTACGTATGTTTTTATTACATAATCGTTACGATAAATAAAAATATAAAATTTTTTATTTATTAATTATGTACATAAAACATCAACAAAAAATGTTTTTTGTTGTTTCGATTTGAAAAAAAAAACAACAAAAACAAAGTTTTAAAAAAAATTTTTATTTTTACAGTCACACATTTTTGATTTTTAAATACAATTATTATTATTATTAATAATATTTAAATTGATATCGGTACCTTTCATAACAAAATGTTCAGTGATTTTTTAATTTCAAAACTTACATAACATGAACATAATTAAAAAACATTGAGAAAGATTTTTTTATCAATCAGTTATGATATTAATTGTGTGAATTCGTGCACTGATTTTATGTTTTAATGTTTGTTTTGTTTTCTTTCCAGAGACTTCCAGAGATGAATGTTCCAGACAAATCTAGTTGATGAGACATAACATCGAGCAGACACAGAAACATCAGAAAAATCCATGTGGTAAGTTTTCTTTATTTTATAGTTTAAGTTATTAAAACGAAACCCATAAATCGATTTTCAGGTATTTATATTTAAAACCGGGAAAACATTTGGGCAAAAACATAAAAATCCTGTCGCGATCAAAAGTCAAACTAAAATAATAATAATAATTAACTTTTTGTTTTTTTTTCTTTGCGGAATTTCGAAAATCATAAAAAGGTTAACTTTAAAAGGTCGAAAAAATAATTTTTTTGTGTACATCCTCCCTCTTTAAGCGCACTGTCATCCCCTTTGCCTCTACCCTAACCTTCCCCCCACCCACTCTCCACGTTAATAAACGTGACCTTTTACGTGGTATAAGAAAAAAAATTTTTTTTTTTATTTCGTTGTGGCATTTAAAGGTTGATGATTTCAAAGTTAAAGTTTTTATATTCGTTTATTATTATTATTATTATTATTATTATTAAATTTTCTGTCGTTGTTCCTTTTTTTTTTAAATGGAAAAAAAGTCGTGGTAGAAGAATTAAAAAAAATATTATTAATAATTAATAAATAATTTATTAAAATCATTGTTTTTTATGTAAATATGAAGGTTTTCGTTTACTCGCGAGAGTTGCGTATTCTGTAACCCCCTACGTTGTGATTTACTCCGCCATTTTTTTTTTTTTGGGGGGGAGGGCAAAAAAAAGTTAAAAATAAAAATAAAACACCTGAAACGTTAATAATTAACGTTTGAAAAAAAAAAGAAAAACTTCCGGTTTAATTATAATTAATTTTTTAATAATAGTGTTTTCAATCAATTTTTATTATTCAGTCGCATAAACTTTTTTTTTTTTTTTTTTTTTAATGTCATAGAGTAAAAAAACTTTATTAATTAAAGTAAATCAGACGGAACGAAACGAAAAAAAAAAAAAAACGTTTTTTTTTCACGTACGTTTTATTTTAACTAATAATATGAGAGACATGGGATTGAATATGACATTAATATTTTCTTACTTTTCCGCCTTGAGGGAAACGATGGGGAACTGGGAAGGTGAGAGGGGGGTAGAAGGAAAGAGGGAGAGAGGAGGAGGGTTTAACATATTAACTCCAGGTGAGGAATAAGGTAGAGTAAAAAAAAAAACCAACCATATTTCCTTAGGGCTCTAATTATGATGAATATTCGCAACAACCGCGGATAATAAAATATTAATTCTTGTTTATAAAACCGCTAAAATTGTTTTAATAATAATAATAATAATAATAATAATAATAATAATAATAATAATAATGTTGTTATTACTTACGTTGTTCGGGTTATTCAAAAGAAAACCAACCACATTATGAGTACTATTATTATTTACAAAATGCAATCGGAAATGCAATGCGGGAGAGAGAGGGGGGTGGGAGGGGAAAGGGTTGTACGAATTTCTTTTATCTGCAGAACGATGTAGAAAAAAAATAAAAAAATTTGTCTGGGGAATTTACGCGTGACAAAAGTTTGTGTTCAAGTTCGGGCGGTTAAAAAAAATTATTTAAACGTAACCGTTTCGAATCGTTTCCAAAATTCTCCGGGTAATTAATAATAATAATAATAATAATAATAATAATTTTTTATTACGGAGAATTATTAAAAAAAAAAAATGTCCGCGAGTATAATTTTCGAGATTCATTTTGTTTCAAAGAAGGCGGTGGATTGTTGGAGAATTATTAAAAAAAAAAAAATGGCCGCGAGTATAATTTTCGAGATGTTATTCTTTTTGTTTCAAACAAGGCGGTGGATTGTGTTTGACGTAATGGCGACGTTTTCTAACGGTTTTTTAAATGACATTTTTTTTTTTTTTTTTATTTCCGTTTACGTAATTAAAATGAATTTTTAAAAAAATTTTCACGTTTTCCGGTTTAAATCCGAGTTTTTTTTTTTTTGCGTGTGCGCCATTTTAAAAATTAGTAATAATAATAATAATAATAATTAAAACGATTTTTCTTTTTAAAAATAGTTTTTTTTTTATTGTTTTATATAAAGTGCCAACAAACTTGACCGTTGCCAATGATTTGTTTATATTAATAGTTTTTTAATAAAATTAATTACGTTTATTAATTAATGATTTTTTATTAACTTTGGCACAAAAAAATAAATAAATAGCAAATAATGTTAAATAAAATAAGGTTGTTGTTTGTAATCGAAACGGTTTCGAATTGTTTGTAATGTGAGAATTAAAATCCGGAGGTGATTGACATTTTCCTTCAACTTTAATTAACATCATTAAATATACTCGAAATGAAAAAAGATTATTAAAAAAAATATAAACAACAGCAAATTTTTTTTTATCCGTAGCAAAAAATTATTATTATCTGTAGTTCGGTTTTTTTTTTTTTTTTTGTTTCTCTACTAAGAAAAAATTAAACAATAACAAAGAAACCGAACGTTGACCTTAAATGAAGTTTTTTATTACCGTTTTTGATTCATTGAAAATTCTTTGTTGTTAAGAAATTAATAAGAAACTTTTGTTGTTTGTTGTTTGTTGTTGTTGTTGTTGTTACGATTACTACTTATTTGAAAACAATTGAAAGTTTTTTAACGGTTAAATTTTTTATTTATTTACCGTGTACGCATGCATATATTGTTTTTATAATGTCGTACGTAATTTCAATATAATTATTAAAACGTATGAATTTGTTTAGCACGTGTTTCCAATGAATTTTCATTTTCATCTCAAATTTCTAGAAGAATCT